GGCGAGGGAGTTTTAACTGATAAGTTCCGGGGTAAATTTTGAAAAGCAGATGGGTTTGTAGATAAGACACTACCCAGAGATTTCGCCCTCATTTTACGAGGACTTTATGATCTGAGTTCTAGTTTCCTATAGGCGCAAGCCCCTATAGTTAATTACCCCTCCCGATAATGAGAGAGAACTTTCGATAAGGTTAGTCGTCAATCATATACGTAGAAATACGTGTTATCTGGCATATAATAGCAGCATAGGTTTGGGATGTAAGGATTTGGAAACTTGGGAAACTTTGGTTGAGATATTTGAGGATTTGATATTTTAAGTTGAAAATTGCACCATCTTGCACTTAAAGCGGATGGTGGGGGAATGGATGATAGACCCGATCAAGATCCCATGGTTCTGTCGTCCCGGGCCATCGTGGTCCCTGGTCTACTTAGTCAGATGAGGTAGTCGACCCAACTTGATAGAAGGATCCTTGTTGGCAGCCATGGGTTGCTTCATCCAAGGGGACCTTATAGACCTGGGATGGGTATTTGCTCAAGGGAACAAATTTGAATCCACCTTAGCTAACAGAGGGCTTTGTGCCCTATCGATCATATCCTATTGATTCATATCTCAAGGATTGATGCCAATAAGGAACGTAACGGCGCTGGCCATAATCGGTATTTCGTGGTGCCATTTGGCGGCAAAACCACTCGGTTCATAGGGCCCCAGGTCATAACCGTTTATCCCGCGGTGCTATTTGGCAGCAAAACCGCCGGTTAGAGGACACGTACCACGTCCTTACTAGCAGAAGATTTTTTGAGAATGGATCATAGTGATATTTTCGACTAGGCATTTGGCTCTTTGTGAGCGTAAGTAAATTTTGATTTGTCCACCCTGGCAAACTGTTGCGGAGGGTGGATGAATTTTCCTTTGAGCGATTGATGGTTTGATTTCAATTTTAAATATCTTTGAATTTTAGGATTTTGAGTGGCATTTTTGGAGTTTTGGAATTTGAATGGACCCCTCCGGTTGAGATAAACATTCAACACGGTCATCATCGGGGTGTTAGGGGTCATTTCCATTTGTTGATTGAACTTTGTGGACTCAGCCGAGCTGTTGACCGAGGATCGGGTTTCTTGTAGGCTTTGTGCCTTTGCTTGTGAATTTTCTTCGTTAAAGGCCTTGAAGGCCTAATATGAATGTATAAGATAAATTTTCCGGTCGACTTTGTGACCGCATATTTATCCGATGGTTTGAACCTTGTCTACTCCTGTTTACATGCTTAGGAGGATCGGGTTTCATATGCTTAATTTTTTTTTGTGGAATGATTAATTGGTTTGTGGTGTCTAGTCTGTAATATGCACCCAGCATTGGCGAACAAGTTGCCTTATTTTAGTGTTTAAAATGATGGCATTTACTTTCAAAGAAAATTTAATTCTAGCAATGCAAGAGATGAGATTGTTCTTGATTTCACCATTGTATTTGCCTCTTCATCCCATATTAAACCATCTTCTGATGTACTTTTTATTTTCCCTCCAGCTCTATCTTGAACATCAAACAGAGTGACCTTCAGCCCATTTGTTTTAAGCTTATATGCAGCAGCAAGCCCACTGAATAATTTTTTTTTGTTATGATCACAGTTAAGAAGTTTCACGAAAATTTATCAGCAATATAAAATAAAAATAAAAACATATGCGTTGGAAACAAAATACAGTAGGAAATCAGCCACATATATGAAGCAAACTAGAGACACTTGCTTTCACTCCTTGCGCTGCCACCTCATAAGGAAGATTCTTTGTGTAATATTAAACAAAATACAGTAGGAAATCATCCACGTATAAGAAGTTTCATGTAATGAAGATTCTTTGTGTTGGAGTTCCATAATTTTATTATCAGCAATATTAAACGCATATGTTCTTATTTTCCTCATGCAGCCGGCCTGCTCCTACCTCCCCTCTCTCTAATCTCCCACCTCCCTCCCGTAGCTCTCAAAATTAATTCCAGAGAAGGAGAGAACCGCAAGGGAACTCTCAATCCCTCACACCACTTCTTTTCCTCCAATTGATCACGAAAGCTTGATATTTTCTAAGCGGGATTGCTGTCCAGAAATCCTGAGAGTTGGCCAACTGCTGTCCAACAGATTTCTGCACCCCCATACCAGCTGGTCAGCCCCATAATTCGATCCATTGCTGTCCAGACTCCTCTTGGCTGCTGTTTCGCGTACGAAGCATCTGAAACCTGCTGTTTAGAAGATCTGGAATGCGTAATTGCTGTCCAAGACTTGAAAGGTGGTTCCCTATTACTAAGATGAACTCTCTCCCCCACCCTTATATCGCCTAAATCCCCTTCAATGGTGGACTTATTGATTCATAAAGGGTTGTGTTAGCTTTCTCCACTTGATCCCTAATGATTAAGAGAGTGATTAAGTGGATAACCTCATAGTAACTTATCTCGTTGTTAGATTAGGGATTTTTGTTGAAGCTCCACCGCGCATGTTATGTTTGATCTATTACTAACTTAAATGTACTTAGCTTTCGTATGTGATTTTGCCTAAATTGACATCACCCCACTCTTGTTTGTTTCCATCGTTTGAAAATCTCCATAATTTTTGAAACTAATATTGCTTAATAATGATTCAAGCGTGCAAGTTTCTTGTAACATTTTGTTTGCATATATAGTCCTGCATCTCTTGCCATTTCTTTCAATATCAACTTACATGCCAGGTTTTTTCTATGATTCCTTTTTTATTTATCGATTTAACCATTTTTTTACAAAATCCTTGAATGAAAGTTTTGATTAAAAAAATAAATGTTCAAAGAAATAAGAAGCTGTAATTGAATCATGTAAATAAATTAAATTTAAGAAAAGAAAAAAAAAAATAGAATCTAGAGATTGTTATTGGATGGAGAAAATATGTGGTGGAAGAGATCCTTATGAAAGAAAAGAGCCTGGCAATGAGGAACAATGGTGGTTGCGACTAGGCTGGGGAGGGTAGGCGGCGTGTGAGGAGTGGAATAGATATTGTGTGAAAGGTGAGGCCTTGGTTCTATCCCGTGAATGTGAGATCCATGCGTGAGTGAGGCATAGGGATTATGTGGGTTAGTTTTATTATTTTGTCACATGCATTTGTATTTTAAAAAAATTGTAGTTCTAAATGACACATACTTAAAATATAGTGAAGGGAGGGTGCTTCTTGCAAAATATGAGGCACATGCTTCATATGAACCAAATGAGATATGCGTCTCATTGCATGTTTTCTTCAAGATGAGTATAAGTGCGCCCATAATTTTAATAATTAGTGCGCGCACAATTATTTATCTTTTGTTGCATCCCGTATTTCTTTTGTCGTATCATAAAGCATTAAATTTTGAAAAATGTCATTTTTTATGGTGTCAATGAGCCATTGTATTTGCTCTTAGAGACAGGAAACGAAATGAGCATATTCGTGAAAATGTTGGAGTAGTTCCAGTGATAGATAATATTAAAGAGAGTCGCCTTTGATGGTTTGGTCATGTTAAACAACAACCTTCCGATGACCCTGTTATGAGAGTAGATGTATTAGATTTGGCCTATATTAAGGAAGGTAGTGGTAGACCTAAAAAGACTTGGTTAGAAAATATTAGAAATACCTTTCTTTATTATATTTAAATGAGAATTTGACTCTTAATAGGACATGGAGAAAAAAAATTTATGTAACCGACCCCACGTAGTGAGATAAAGGCTTGATGTTGTTATAGTTGTTGAATGAGCTAATATATTCAGATTGCCATGATCTGAATTTTAAATATTTCTTTTGTGGAGAAATGACTGTACTTGTGAGTTAATATGTTAAATTTAGAGAATTGGAGAGGAAAAAGTTTTAATTTTATTGCACAAGTTTATCCCTATTTATAGATCTATACAAGATATCTTAATAAAGAAATAAACAATTACATAATAATAAATAATTGCTTTAAGATAATTCTTCCTAAATCAGTCATCTAAATATCAAAGGAGATCAGCATAATCCAGGTGAGCCTCCCACGGATTCCCATCTTAGCTGTGGGATCAAAATGTCAAGGGATGGCTATGATTTAATAGGTGAGCCTCCCACGGATTATCATTCTAGCCATGGGATCAAAATGCCGAGCGACGGCCGGGATTTAACATAATCGTTATTGATTTTTCCATTCATTAACATCATAACTAATTAGGACCATTGGAAGTAGTTTTACCCATTCAATTTGTGCCCAATGAGTGGTATATTTGAGAAGAAATTTTCATGATTGTCAATTTGTCCATTGCTGGAGTTAGCGTTGGAGGAGAAGCTTTTGTTGGAAGTTATTCGAGAGAAGAATCAAATTATATTCAAGAAGGCGAGTTCTTGTTATGTCCAGCAGTCCAGGCTAGAGATCAAGTTGAATTGAGCCTTCAGTGAGTTCTAGGAATGCAAAGGTTTTTGCGAGGATTTTTTTGCTAGTTTGAATTTTGAAGCAAGCTCAAAGGCGTAGGTCTTAGCGAGTAGCAGTTGAGCAAAGGCGAGCTATTTTAGAACCATCTTAGCAAATTCACGTGCAGGAGCTGTGAGTTTTTGGCGAGTTCACATGATGTTAGTTTGTGAATTTGAGCGAATTTGAATGAGGCAATACTTAATCTTCTAGTAGAGTAAACTTATTGATTGGGAATTTGATACATCATCACAAAATTAGCTTGATCAGGCACGAATCCCGAGGCAAAAACTAGTTGGAGACTTCAAAAATTAAATCCGGGAGCATCCGAACTCCGATTTCAACGATCTTACAGTCAAACTGAGCGTGGACGCAACAGAATTCATGTCACGTTTGGACGAATTGAATACATAGAATTCATGGTGAGAAGGGACTTATGATTGCGAGGCTCGGGTAAGTGAAATCTTATGGAGAGTGAGTAATATAATATGAGTTAGGCTTTGATAGCTTGTTAAAAATAGAGACAAAAAAAGAGAAGATCTTGAATCGTATTTCTGTTTTCACTAGTTCTTTATTTCCACTTTGCGCATGCAGATTCCATACAGACCCTTCAGGTACATTTTGGCAGTGCAGTGCTAAAGCTATAGGCTCTGGCTCGGAAGGAGCCGACAGCTGCTTGCAAAAGCAGTATAACAAGGCAAGCTATACTGTTGTATCCAATCCTTTCTATTTTTTTGAACATTTCAATTCATCCATATTCTTTAGACTAACAGTAGATAATTTGTAATTTCCTTTCATGACAACATTTTCTGCGTAGGATATGACTCTTCAAGAAGCTGAAACAGTTGCTCTTTCCATCCTGAAGCAAGTCATGGAGGAAAAGGTACCAAATTGGCTCATAGATTCCTTAGTCTTCCTGCTGGCTACTAATTTCTCATTCTTAATATCTTCTTAATAATTTTAATGAACACTATGTTCAGGTGACACCGAAAAATGTTGATATTGCAAAGGTTGCTCCGACTTACCACCTCTACTCTCCCACTGAGGTAGAATCTGTTATCAGCCGCCTTTAGCTTATCAAGAACAAGGCAATCTAATTTCTTTCATTCTTCAGTCGCCCCATTACAATTTACAACCAAGCACTTTCGAATTGAAGCATTTTACCTTGTTTTTAGTCATGGAAGTTTTTTTTAACTTCACATGGAACTTTCCACCTATGGTGACATTGAGGGTGCTTTAAACAATTGCAAAGTTAGGCTTCATTAGGAATAGCTTTCTTTCTGCTTTACTTTTCATATCATAGCCATAGTTTCCATTTGTCTATTACTACTTTTTCGCTGCTTTTAAAATGTCCCAGTGCTATGAAATTGGTTTTTTACAACACTTTCAAAAAATGAAATATGGAGCTTATTATGCGATTCTAGTTGGGATAAAGATTTCATTTCAAGGGTCAAATATGTGTTGTTATTTCTACCGATGAAGGTATGCAACTTTGTGGAATTCCAAAAGAACTCTGTCGGCTAATGAACGAGCTTGCGGGTATGCATAGAAAACGAAGAATCTTCAATCCAGGAGGATTGCTTATGGTTTCTACACCGACTACCCTATTGATGACGAGTCTCGACGGAGTCGAGCTCTTTTGACGTAAGGAGAGTATGATGTGGAATATCATTAGCTAAATAAGCCCTTAGGAATAGTTTATTAGTTTGTTAAATATTCTCTAGAATCTTCTATTACATTTATATATATACAAGTATTGTAGTAGGCAGAGAAAAAAATAATATTATATCCACTTGTAATTTGAGCTTGAAAAATTAGTCAAATTTGAGCTTGAGCTCTAGCTTAATTCTATGGGCTTTAGTTGAATCATATTATTGTGTCCGGACACCGAACGCGCCCAGAGACCAATAACTAAGCGTCACGTCACTTGGGCGCTTGGTACTGTGCTCGGTACAACACTCGGTATATCTCGATATTTGTCTGAACATAATAATTTTTCCATGACCAGACTCATTTATTTAAAAGATAAAATAAGCATGGTTCAAAAAATTATTATTGTAAAATGAATTTGCATATGCTGTGTTTTAGGCTTTTACCTCCAACTTGAAATAAATATATATCTTCTGAGAATATTAACTTATAATTAAGTCATTTCACATGATAAAAAAATTACATAAATGTTTTAAATCTTCATTGCATTGCTGCCTAGCTCATATCCCATTAAGCATTTTGTCATACTTTCACTAATAGGGGGAGAGAGAGAGAATATTATGTGATTTTGCAGTATACTTTTTTTTTTATTTTTTTTATTCTTAACGTCAACTCAAGATGATATTTTATTAAGAATTTTATTATAGGTGGGGAAGCAGATAATTACTCTTTTAGAAATTATATACCCTGTAATCTTATACATATTTTTCTGATTTGACATATAATAATTAAAAAATAAAATCAACACATTCATGACAAAAAATATTTTAATTGATGAGATAAATCGATATAAAGTTTTTCCAAATAAAGATAATAACATTACCTCAAATTTAATTGATTTATGTATAACACAGATTATAATAATATTTTTTAAATATGCTAAATATGAAAGCATAATATTCACACATCTCTATCTCTATATTCAAATTTATGATTTTTAAATTAAGGGCTTAAACAATCATTTGATGATAGGCTGACACAAGAAGTAGAGTACTCAAATAATAATTTTGGTAACAATAATATTTCTTGATTTTTTTAACTTTAAAATATTTAAAAAATGTCTTGTCAATAAAATTAGAACATCTACACATAATGATAACTAAAGCCCTTGAATATGTATATCTTTTAAAATAAAATTTAAAATTAATACAAAAATATAAATTTAATATAGGTTTTTAATACAATTTATAATAATTAAAATTTTTATAACATAGTTATATATAATTGTTACATAAAAAAATCAATGATGATTGAGAATTTTTTATCTTAATATTGTGCGCGTGAAGATGCATCACACAAACATATAAAAAAGAAGAATGCTAGAAATATCAAAACTTTTATATGGGAAATTCAAGAAGGAAAAAAATTATTAGGTTTGATCAAACTGGAGTCATTTAGTAATTTACTATGTACTTGCAATTAAAGAATTCACTATTCTTCATAACTAAAGAATATAAGATTAAAAAATTGATAGCATGTATTTGGTCTCTTGTAATTATAATAGTGATTATGAGAGAAGTATGAGTGTAATGATGAAGACAAATAGATGATGTATGTTGGACAATAGTAGTCGAATGATAATGATAGTGGTCTTATCACAATAGTAGGATGGTGATAATCAAATAATGATGAATAAACTATGACGGACAGAGAATAATAAGTAGACAATAGTAGTAGAATGATGATGATGATCAAATGATGGTGGTCGGATCACAATAGTAGGATGTTGATAGTCAAATAATGATGAATGAACTATGACGGTCAAAGAATAATAATTAGACAATAATGATCAGGTGATGGTGGTCATATGATGTTAGCTAGATGATGAGGGTTACCTAATAGCAATTGAATGATGATAATAACTTGCATTGATCATTGGTATTAAACATCGAGTATAGTTCTAGCGTTTTGTATATTTCAAGCTCTCCCTAAACTCAAGTTAAGCTATTCCTCTCTCATATGAAGAATGACGGTCTATTTATAAATTTTGAGAGCTCCATTTTCATAAATTAGCCAAAATTTTAGCAATTCATTGGGCTATTCACATCTAACTTCTTTCATCATAAATCATTTATTCAGCATTTAGGTGCATTCGTGATCTAAAAATTGAATATCTTGAGTTCATTTGATTCGTCTCGTTGAGATGTTCAATTTGTTTATAAGCATTCAAAATTTACAGGCCATCTGAATTCTAAATTAATATCCCAAAATTTTTAAAATTGCTTTAATTCTCTATGTGATTTATTTAGACTCATATTGAATCATTTTTATGTCATTAGATTCATCCTATCAATCAGTTCATTTCAACGATATCTTTGTTAAAAATCAAAATTCAGATATTTCTGAATTTAATTCTTATAAACTTCAACATTAAGGTTTGCACAAATAAAATGGATTCTTGTTATCAATAATATCACTTATTAATTGATGTTTTAATGGTGGGAATTTAGTTGGAAATAAAATAAAAATTTCCGACGAATCAGATTTTTTTAAAAAAAAAAAAAAAATTGTCCTTTTGCTTCGTTTGAATATGCTACCCTCTTGTTTTGGATAAGGCCTGAAGCGAAATCTGGTTGGGATAAGTAAGTCCTTTTCGTAATCTTGCGTATCTTTCCACGCTTATTTTAATTAAGAGAAAGACCCACAGCTGCTTAGTTTGATTGATGGACGAGTATAATTAGGAACAGTTCAACTTGTACTCGATTCATTTTGAGTGGCAGTGTCTCTTAAGTGGGGCCCAATCAAGTACGACCAGGAGGTTTTTGAGGTGGGTGTCTCTTCTAGGTCAGCCGAGGATTAGTTGCACCTTCAAGCGCCCTTTCGAGAGTGACAGCGGGTGGATGCCCCGTTCTAAAAAAAATTAAGAGAAAAAAATTTGAATATTGAAAAAAAAAAATATATATATATATATATATTGGTTTGATTTTTTTTTTTTTAGCTTTAGTTTTATTTTATAGATTTATTTAAAGGATTTATAGTTCAAGAATATATGATATTGAATATAATTTTATTTTAAAATTTGATTTGATAGGTTTGTTTTTGGTTTAATCCTTTGGTCTGATGTGGTCAAGATATTTGAGCTGGAGTTCAAAATCGATTTACTAAGTATGCTCCATAGCAAATTTAAATCATGTGAAACCCGGTCTAACAAGTCATTTGTAGTAGGTGTTTTATGTCAGATAAGACAAGTAATGATAATGGAGGTAGTTCTTGTTACTATATTTTAGACTCATTTTTAGAGGTGTTAAGATGGGGTTTTGGGTTGGGTTCAAGTCTGTGTCCAACTTGAAATTGATCGGCCTTCAATTGACTCGATATGAACCCTAGTCGATAAGCTAAATGGGTCACAAATTTAGACTCAAACTCAAACCGTCTCTAACCTAATTTGAATTGGGTTGACCTGCTGACCTGGTTAGCTGACGAGGGTGTCAGAGCACGGTCGGTTGAGCGTGGGCATTCAAGCAGAGCAAGCGCATTTGAACGCGAGTGAGACGAGCTATGAGACGGGTGAGCGTGATGGAGGATAAGTGCGAGTTGCTTTTGGTTTTTGGAGTTGGATTGAACCCGATCCGAATTTACAATCGGGTTAGAATTTGAAACCCAAACGTGATCTATTTTTCAAATGGGTTGACTTGAACACAAAATTTTTAGGTCGAATTTTTTAGTCGTGTCAAATATATGCACCCCTACTCACTATAAAAAATCAGTTTATTATGTACTCTCATATACTTTTAAGGTTGCACATGAACTGAGTATTATATTTGGTACATTGTTTGAAAATCTATTTTATTAGGAATGAATTTCATGGCAATATCTAAATTATAAACTTTTAAAATTCAATTATAAATCTTTGGTCTTTGATGCCAACAAATATAATTTGATTTAAATCCAAATGAGCCCTAATTTTTTTTAAATTTTTATTAAGAATTTAGGTAAGTTTTATGTAGCCTATTGAGATGTGGTTTGCTCATACTTGCTTTTTTGCACTTGTTAATTTCAAGCCAAGTAAAAGGAAAAGGTTGATTTGGCTAGATAGAGATTGCAAGTTTTAGGTGTTAGGGAAGCTTTTATGTTAGTAGATTTCTTTCTGGCAATCATGGTGTATGTCTGATATTTATATGATGATTTTGTACTATGATTATTGTGTATATGAATATTTTAGATGTATAACATTTTTGGAGATAAATGAAAATCACTGATAAGTTTATTTTTTCTATAGTTTAAATTTTATGATTAGCAGCTTTGTTTTTTTGTTTATAAAGGGCATGAAAAGAAATTCCTTCCAAATAAATCATGAGAACTGTCTCATCATGATTTGACACGATATAACCCGCTTGGTGCATGGATTATTTTAGGCTGGTTTGTCACACGATCATCACCAGTATAGTTTAGCGGGAAACAAGTCGGGTGGCCTGTTCGGTCACCCGACGAAACCGAGATTGAGCAAAATGGCAAGCGAAGCAATGAAAATTGTGGTTGGACCGCTAAACTTGTTGACCAAAGTGGTTTTAAAATAACCATGTGGTTCAAAACTTTAGTATTAAGAGCCTTTGATTCTGAATCAGATGATCTTAAAAAAAACACACACAGTAGATAATCATTCATGTTTTATGTTTCATGATCATTTATTTGTTTATTTTTTATTCATAGTTTTATATGATTGCATTAATATAGATAGATTTATGCTATGCTTAAATAAAGTAAGTATTTATTACATTATCTGGTTCGACTCCGATCAACCATCCAACCTTGAACCTCTTCTTCTTCCAATTCTTTGCCCGATTCGATTTTCATAGCCTTAATTTGAACTCACTTTTGTAACAAATTCTAATTTGAATCAATTTAAATTAATTTCGTTCAAAATGGACATCAACAACAACAAGCAGTACAACCCTAGATATTTTGATTCAAATTTGTCTTTTTTATCATATTTCTCTAAAGAAAACAAAAAAAATCTCTTATATATATATAATTTCCCAAATTAGGGAGCATATACAAGGGCGCATATACAAGGGCCCGCATATACATTCAAATTTCCCTTTTAAAAAGCATCCGCATAATTGCATAAAGTCCATACAATCAGGCTAAATGTGAACTGTAAGGACAAAATTTAAAAGAAAAAAATCTATAAATATAATAACATTTATTCGTAAGATTTATCTAACATAATTTAGCACTGTGCTATGGATAATTTTGGTAGAAAATTCTTATGTTGATAAGTTTTTAAAATCTGATCAGCCACAGGCCAATAACTTTTCTTACCTACCAATATAAATAAATTATCTTAAAAAAAAAAAAAAAAAAAAAACTTAAAAAAAAAAAAAAAAAAAACATTAAAAGGGGTTTCTTCTCCGAATTTGACCGCGGCTTCACCGCTTCAGTTAACTGAACTAAAACAGATCCCTTTATATCGCTCCCTTCAGTTCTTCTATCGCCCGTCGCTGCTTTTCCTTTCTTTAAAAGGAAGATCCCGACTTTCTTCTTCTCGATTCTCCAAAGATGAGGTCGAACCTCCTTCTCCCATCTTCTATAATTCCCGCAGACCCTAAAACCATCTCTGCAAAACCTTCCTACACCGAAGCGGTTGGGTCCTGCCGGCAATTCTTCCGTTCCGTGCGCGCAATCGCGGCGCCGGAGCCGCCGTGGGTGGTTCCCTCGCCAGCGAGGCGTACTGCTTCTCATGGAGGCCTCGAGCTCGTGTACAGCGGCCTTAATTCCTCCTCCAAAGGCCGCATCCCCATTTCCCTCCGTCTTGTCCAGCTGCAGAAGAAGAGCCTTGCCAGACGCCGGCGACCGGAGGACCCTTCAGCTCTCGACCCAATCAGCTGCGCCGTATGGTCCCTTATATGTTTGCTTGAAGAGCTCCATAAGTCGGCCGTATATGTCGCTGACGAGGCTGATCAGGATAGGGTTTTCTGGGATTCGACGGAGCCGCTGGTTTGGCTTTTCCTCCGAGTCTTCTCCACATCGCCCAACATCCTCTCCGCAATCCTCGGTCTGACTGCCAGCTTCGTCGCGCGATCGGTGGAGAAATCCGTTGTGGAGACGGTTTCGTCAGCGTTTGATTTACAGATGGGGACGGGGACTCCAACGTCGGAGGTGGCTGGGCAGTGGGTAGATTCCGGTGGACCCGCGGCGGCCGGTGCCGTCGGTGAGTCATTGGAGATTGGAGATTATTGGAGCTGGGGGGATATAGGAATTCTTGATGATTCAGTAAGGGTTGAGTCCGATTCCCGGTGGCTAAATTACAGACGTCGTCGATCGCATTACGAGTCGATGATTGTTCGCGAGAAGCAGCCGAATTCGCTCATCTTGTCCAACTATGCGCAGTTCTTGTACCAGTTCGAATGGGATCTGGACAGGTACTGTGGTCTTTCTTTTATCGATGCTTTATGCATTTAACCACTTAAATGTTCCTATGATTGCACAGTTATATTTTTTTTTATTAAAAAATATTGAACTAAGTCCAAATAATTTGCTCGTACCCATATTCATGAGTTCGCACATAGCTTATGCATTAGAATTAGGAAAAGAATTGGTCAGGTCTTATTCAATGGAGTGGCGAGAGAAAATAGCAAAAAATAAAAATAAAAATGCCTCTATTGTGATTTAGATTTTTGTCCGAAGGTCCAAGAAATGTTAAATTCTAAAAATTATTTGACCTGATAACTATTAAAATAAATTGTTCAACTATTTATTTATGAATTTAGAATTTATAGGGTTGTATAGCTGCAAATAGGATTTAATAAATACTATTAGGTGAAATAAAAAAAAAGGGATTTACATGCCTAGCATTTAAAATTATAAGATTTATGTATTTAATGTCTAATTTTTACTATTACTTTGCTAATGGAGTTTGTCGTGTCCTAGAATATTCACGGCTGTAGAGACATATAGAGTTTAATGTCCTAGCTTTACATGAAAATTCAGCATACAGACAAATAAAAGAAAGGGTGCAGCGTTCATAAGAGACACCAAAATTTTTACGTGGAAAACCATCGAAAGAGAGAAAATCATGGGGCCTTGCCAAGTTGAACTGATTCCATTAGTGGTATTGGTTGATTACAAATAATGCCCTTCCTCGTACGATAGCGCTGGCTCAATGTAGCAAATACACATTATATATAGCACATTACATAATTAGAGAACAACATGAAAATTGTTCTTATAAGAGTGTGGGTCTGTTTGTTTTTTTGTAGGGTTGCAGGGTCATAGTTGGATGATTTTGATCGAAGTGATTGTAGTCGAGTGATGGTTGTCGGAGGGATTGTAGTCGACGGTCGTAAGGATTGTAGTGGCAGGCGATGGTTGTCGCAAGGATTATAGTTGGCGGGTGATAGTGGTCGGAGGAAGGTTCATTAGTGGTTTTTATATGGAGGTTTGATGGTGATGACCAGCTAGAGGTTTAACAGCGGCGGCCTGGTGGCACATATTCCTCGACAGTGGTGCCGGGGTAGAGCTTCAGGGTTCTTCAAGCTCCAAAGCTTTTCTCTTCTTCCCCTTTACTCCTCCCTTTCATGTGAAGAATAGGAGACTATTTATAGTTTTCGAGGGAGTGACATCATCAGTAAATATGGAGAAGATCCAAGGCATATTTGAATTGTTCTACTTGATGGCTCATAGCGATTATCTTGATCATAGAGTGTTTATCAAGCATTTAAGTCCCTTGATGATATTAGAATTTGACGATATTGGACTCGTTGAATTCGTCTTGTCGAGTCTCTTGATTCAACAATAAGAATGTCATGTTTGGATATCGTTTGGCCATTTAATTAATGCTTTGAAGCTTCCAAGAGTGTTTTGGCTTTTTGATTTCGGCTCATTTGGGCTCGGATTGAACTGAATTTAGTGTCATTGGATTCATCTTCTTGAGATGTTTAATTTGACTATAAGCTTTGTGAAATTGGAGTTTGGATGATCTCGAATTTTATTTTAGAAGTTTCTAACTTTGGCGTACCTCGTGATTTGTGCTCAATCAAGATAATTTTTGTTGACATATCAGTTGCCCCATTACTTTCGAACGTCGAATCTTGCGGAGTCCGAAAATACATATCTGAGTCTTTCAAATTGTTGCGATAAAAAAAATACAATTTTAGACAAATTATGAGTTGCGACCACTCCTTGGATGTCAATGTGGACCTCCTTTTGGGGCTGCAAACAAAGTAAAATATCCACGATCATAATTTAAGTGTTTATTGAAGTTTGCACATTGATTGGAGCAAAAATATTAGAAAATTAAACTTCAAAACTCTTGAAGTTGCTCTAAATTGATGGTAGAAGTTTTGTTTGGTTCTGAAAGTGTCAAAATTGGATTTAAACATTAGAAAAATAATTATGGGGACCTGAAAAACATCCGAATTGGACAGTTAGGGTCAAAATTGGGCCCGGACAAGGCTTGGCGCTCGAACCGGCTGGCCACTGACCTCCCCGATAGGTTACCCGCTGCAGGGTGCGCACGGTGCGCACCTCAAGGCGCCCTTTTTTTGGGGCGTGTGAAGAAGTCCTTATAAGACCTTGTTGGTTAAGGCACTTGTGAGAACAGTGGGGTGTGAAGAAGTCCTGATATGACCTTGTTGGCGAAGGCATCGAGAGGATTGCGAGGTATGAATGAGAAGAATGGTTCATGAGACTGTGTGGATACCGAGATTTGTTAAATCTGAAGCCACAGTCTCTGTCGAATTTACTGCTACGGACCTCTTCATTACCATCATGACAAGATTGTAACAAGACTGGCATCCGGATTAAGTTCAAAATTTTGTTGGTTCGATGAAAAAGGCTCTTAAGAAGCCTATCAAGAATGACTACACATGGGAAGAATCCTTTGGGGCCTCTTCTAGAAGCCTCCATTCCTAGAAGTACTATTCCTAAATTTTGTTGGTTCTTAAGTCATCTAAGTTTCCTACTTTCCTGTCATGCGTACTTCAAGTGCTGGCTCTAATGATATTAGTTGTCATGAAAATTAACTAAAGAATTTATTATGAGTTTCATTTAGCATTTATCATGATTTATCAAGGTTTTCAAAACAAGTTCGATATGCAACTCAATTTGATTTTTTGGTTGAGAGTTTTGACTACTAATTAAGAGGTCTTAAATTTGAGTTTTATCTTAATTGACCTAAATGTAAAAAAAAAATCAATTATTGCACCTTATTTATTACACATCGTAAGAATATTGGCTCTTCGATGCTCCTAAGTTATTCCATTTGATTTAGCTAGAAATGTCAACCTTTAGGTTATTCCTTGCATCTTTTGGCTCTAAACATTCATGATGATTTTGACTTACTCTTTGGGGAGCATTGTCTTTATAAATACCAGGGTGCATTTTCATTGTTTGGACTCTTATGACATCTGGGATTCTTTTAGCATATCGACCTAGAATCTTCTCACTCATCTTGCTTCTCTCTTAACTATTATCTCTTTCTCTCTTTCTCGTGTGTGCTTAAAACCTTTTCTTTCTCCCAGGAAGATTGTAATATATAACTCTTGAACATGTCTATTGTACTATGATACTCTTGAATGGTTAATATTTCTCCTTTGCCAGCTTTTCAGTGGATGTAGGTCGTTCAATTGAACAAATCTAAATCTTGTGTCTTCTCTATGCGTTGTGATTCTTCTCTCAATCTCATCGTAGAACAATCTAGGAATAGTACTTCTTAACTCTTATTCTCAAAACTCTTGATGCACGCGCTATTCTGCTCTCAGAGTAAATTAGCTAAGTCTTTCACTTTTAGTATCTCCCAACAAGATGGGTCATTCCCCATCAGCCCAGCAGGACTTTATTCTTCAAGCTGTGGAATCATCTAGAGCATGAACACCTACGATTGAGTTTGAAAAAATGAGGCACTATATTTACAATATCCGTGATGAGGCACAAAATAGGGGATAAATGAAGATTATATGAGATGGTTGGATATCATGAACATAAAAGCTAGTCGATAATATTTTAGCCAGATTCTTGATAAAGCTTTGTTTAAAACTTAATATAAAGATCTTAAAGTAACTTTTTAGTATAAAAATTTAAAATTTTTGTATTAAAAAGTTGCTTTAAGAAATAGTAAGAAATCCGTCCCGGATGAAGCCTTAGTGTCTGAAAATTAGTATTGTTTCACCTGCAGTGGGAATGGTTTGATGATTTGATTGGGCCATTCTGATTACAGTTCAAAATTAACTCGTATTATACATTCTTGCTAGAAAATGGCCCGAGGCCTGAATTAATGAGTTGGCTCGATCCAATTCAGGATTGACCGAAATTTGCTTGAAGATTGGACCGAATCTACAAAACTAACTTGTAGCTCGTCTGTTTTGACTCTATTTAAGCTCAGTCAACGTAAAAAAAAGTTAAACGATTCTTTGGTCTTCGTTTTTCAAGCGAAATTCTCAACTCTAAATTAGTACAGTTACTAATAATTGGAGAGGATCCAAATCTGACTGCGAGGTACTTAGCGATTAAAGGTTTTATTCTGCACCTGCTGCTCCTGCAGTTCAATTATTAATATTGAGCTGTCACACATGCAAATTTGTGTGTAAAACAAAAGGGAAATTATAAAGAGGGTGCAATAAAGCTATCCACTAGTTCTATCTCTCTATTCTTTGCTCTTTCATCCGTCTTTCTATGTTACTTCTGTCCATCCAGAGCAAACAACATTAAGAAATTTGCTTTGTTTCCCTCTATGTTTTTATTGTGATTAATGAAATGACAAAGATAAAGAAACCCAAAAGGGCCAAACTCAGATCTTGCTTGACTTCAAACAATCTGTGACATATATTGTCAAAACTTGGTCAATAAATTTATACATTGCCGCATAACATTTTCAGGGCGCACGAGTACTTCAAGTTGGCTGTGCTGACCGATCCGGTGGACGGAGAGGCAATGAACAAATACGCCAATTTTCTGTGGCAAGAGCGAGGAGACTTGGCTGGCGCGGAGGAGATGTTTTTGGAAGCAATTGAGGCAGATCCGACCAGCTCCTACCATCAGAGCTCTTACGCAAATTTTCTCTTACTAACAGGCGGGGATGAGACTTGCTTCCCACTCGACTATAGCGGTCTCGCCGGCGGTAGCCAAATCAGCTGACTTTGTGATAGGGATCGGAAGATTTAAATAGTTTTGACTAGTAACTTCCATTTGTAAAGTCAAGAAGGAAGTAAAAAAGAAGCCCTTATTTGACAAGTTTTAGACTGCACATTTAATTTTCAGTAAATAAAATTTGCTCAGTATTTCACATTTTAACGGTGAAAATGCAAGAAAAATGATGCACGAGGATGTAGATTTGTGTCATTTTTATGTATTTTCGGGCGGGCTAAATTTTGTGAAGGTGTGGATGCTTGAGCTGAGCTTTCCGATTCTCATAGTGTTAAGACTTTGGATTAATTATTTTATGTGGACGCTGAATGCTGATCAATCAGAATGCGCCACATCACCCCCCGTGCTCAGTACCGTGGCTCCATACCGCCCGGTACAAAGGCTCAGTACTACTGATGTGGCGCATTCTGATTAGTCTCCGGATTGCGTTCTGTATTCGGTCTCCGCACAAAATAATTTCTAGTGACTTTGACTTCGGTTGTTACAGTTTTGTTTGCTGTTGTCTAAAGTAGCTTTTTAATAATTTTTTTAGGAAGTAAAAAAAATAATGATAAAAAATTATCCCATATAAAATATGTCTTTCTCGTGTTTTTTTCAATTTACTGATTTGATTTTTAAGTCATATAATGATTTTTTTTCTTTGTTTTACAGCAAATAAACATATTAAGCTACATTTTTCTTTTCAAATTTGTTTTCAAGATGATGCCATTTTTAAAGCACAAGCTTGAATCAGTAGCTCGAGCTTAAGCTTGTTTCTGCTCATGGAGTCAAACAGCAATGTTAGAAATTGGATGTACAAAAATCTGCAGAAGATATGATAAACTTCAGCTTGAGTTGAAGAACAGTTCTTCAATAAAGTATAAAAAAAACCCATCACAATAATAAGTATTTAGGATCAAAGAAGAAAACAACCAAGCATTAGTCGGTCCATTTAGGTAAAAGAAAAAAAATGCAATTCTCAGTTCCAATGAGGGATAGCAAAGTTTTGTTTGATAGACTCCAAAATATAGCAAAGCCAATTACTCCAAACATACAGATTGATCAGGCCTTCGACTACGTACCAAGGAAATTGCTTTCCTTTGCATGTACACACGAGTGAGGAGGAAAATTAGTGTAGCTTAAAAAGAACATGATACAAGCTAGAATGAGATGCTTAGATTTTATTTAGGACAATTTTTTATGTTTTATTTTTTAAAGTGTAATTATAATTTTTATTTAATAACTATTTTTTATTATTTTTTTTTAAAAAATTATACTAAAAACTATTTTTTATAATCACATTTATTATTATTTTTAAAAAATTTATACTAAAAAATTATTTTTTTATAATCACATTAAAAAATAGTCATCTCAAGCGGGAACAATTATTAGGTCAGGTGACCTGACATAACTCTACGTTCGGACGCCAATAACATGTCGCCACGCGGCCCGACGACGACCCGGGATTGCTATGTTCGCGTATTGCTCTAGGTATTGCTCGGTATTGCTAGGTATTGCTCGGTATTGCTAGGTATTGCTTGGCAATAATGAAAATATCGGTCTGTGAAGACCAATACCGAGAAAAACTCGGTATTGCTCGGTATTGCTTTTTCTCGGTATTGGTCTTCACGGAATGGTATTTCTCGTTATTGCTGAGCAAAATCGACCAATACCGAGCAAATACAGAGCAATACCTAGCAACATGCGAACATAGCAATCCCATCTCTGTTCCCGGGGTTGTTGGGCCGCACGGTAAATAGTGAGAACACATGGCACTATTTTACTGACGTCCGAACGTAGAGCTACGTCAGGTGACCGGACCAAATAAAAGTTCTCAAGCGGACCCTTAATCAAATAAGTTTTGTACAATATTCTTAATTAAGGAATTATATTAACGTAGGAAACTGCTAGGATATAATATGCTAGCAAAATGTCAAAGGTTTTCTTCGTTGAGATTTGCGTAGTCAAGATCTAAGAATTTATCGTTACTCAACCGAAGTATTAATATAAATAGTATTAATCAGTGGTAAGCATTATGTTTCGATATTCTCAAATATTGGACCAAGCCTTGGGAAGTACTGAAGAAAATTTGCAGTCCAGATGTATGGAAGCCTAGCTACATGTTAAAAAATAAAAATAAATAAATAAATATCATTAGAGATTTACCCTCGTGTTTAGATTTACGCCTTTAAAGATCTTGGAATATGATGTGCATTGAATTATTTGAAGGCAGATGGCTTTATTTTTTTACAAAATATTTATTATGACACATCAATTCATAAAAAATATAAATGCTCTGATAAGAATATTTCTGGCATTACTTATACATATGGATGTGTGGCATATAGAGGTGGTACCTCTATTTTGTTGGAAGCTAACATGCTTTGCGGTCCCCAAGCTATTTGGCAGGATTTTTAATATAATTCGATCAAAATTTCTGTGTTATTGATGACTTGACTTGATTACAAGCAAAACTTACTTGAACTCTATATATGCTATTGTTGCGTCTAGAAGTATTCGCGGCGGTAGAGAAATATAAAGTTTACGTCCCAGTATTGTACGAAAATCTGGCATGCAATCAGATAAAAGAAATGGTGTGTAGTATTTGTGAGGCATTAAGATTTTTACGTGGAAAACCCCTAAAAAGGGGAAAAAATCACGGGGTCTGGCCCAGTATAAATGAATCCACTAATATTGTAGTTGATTACAAATGAAGGGGAAGGCCTTAGCTTGATGTACATCTTATATAGTACATTACATAGTGAGAATACAAAGCATCACTGTTGATGTGTTGTTTGGTTTGAATGATCGTAGTCAGTGGGCGACGTAAGTCAGGTAGAAGTATAGTAATGGACATAAATCCAGCATTAGATAGATGTCCAGCAAAAGTCTGACAACGGGCATAAATCTGGCGTCGGGTAAAAACTTGGAGACGAGGGGAGGTCCGGCGTCGGGTAGAAGTCTAACGTCAGTTAGCAGCCGGGGAGAACTCCGACGTTAGATGGCATTTGGGCAGAACTCAAGAGTCATGTGGAGATCGGACTAAACCCAGGCGTCACTTCGAGGTCAGGCGGAATTCGGCATCACTTGGAGGTCGGCCAGAATTTCGGCGTCACTTGGAGGTTGGGTGAAACTCCAGTGTCACTTAAACGTCGGGCAGAATTCTGGCGTCGGGCAGAATTCCGGTGTCGGGCATAATTCTGGAGGCGATGGTCGAGGAAGAGTTTCTTCCCTCCTATCATTCTCTTCTTCTTCTTCTTCTTCTTTTTCTTGCTTCTTCTTGCTTGGGCCACCTCTCAAGAGAAATGAGGGGTCTATTTATAGATTTTATGGAGTGGCATGGCCCGTAAATAGATAAGAGATCAGGGGCAAATATAGAGTGGTTTGGATGAACGACCGATATTGAATCATTCGATCGTGAACAGTTTACAAGACATTTGAAGGTCGGCGATCTTGGGCTCGTTGGATTCGTCTCGTCGAGCCGCTCGATTCAACTATAAGATCGTCAAGTTCGGAGACTATTTGGTAACTCAAATTGCGCTATAAACTTTCTAACAGAGCTTCGGGTCCTTGATTTGGACTCATTTGGGCTCAAATTGAGTCGATTTTGGTGTCGTTGGGTTCGTATTTCCGAGATCAACAGTTTGACAATAAGTTTGTTGAAATCGGAGTTCGTATGATTCCATAATTATTTTTTGTAGTTTATAGCTTGATTTTGCCTCGTGATTCGTGCCCGATCAAGATAATGTTTTAACGACATATCAGCTATAAAACTGGATGATTAAATTTGATTGAGCGGTTATTTGACCGGCTTAAAAAGAAATACAGTGTAAAAGAAATGTAGTATAAAATGAATATTTTGAATTATTTGGATGAATGTAGATTAAATGAAAGTGAATAATTTTTTTTTTAATTTGGATTGAAATAATAAATGAAGCATAAAGTAAGAAAATGTTGGTGGTGGGCAGTCATGGCTGGCGGCGGGGGGTGGTGGCAGTCTGCGACGATGTTGGCTAGCGACCGATAGTGGGAAGTGGTGGCAGCCTGCAATCTCTGATGGCGGGTGGTGGTGGCCAGAGGCTAGTGGAGATGGTTGGTGGTGGTGATTGGCGGCGGTTGACAGCTATCAAGCAAACTTGCTTGTGGTGTAAACCATTCTCGCTCAAAATTAATCCAGTTTGATTAACCCCAAAAATGAACTAGAATGATTTACGTTACTTTTACTTTACTTTTGATTCCTTTTTAATCCAAACAAACATCAAATTATCAAAACTCATATATTTGAAATACTTTATGCTTTAAAGTAGTCCAACCAGAGTACATTATTATTTAATTGATGAGAATCCAAATCCATGACCTCATTGCTCAACCAACACACTTAAGTAATTATAGATAGCAAATGAAATGTCATTCACTATTTATATTTTATATACCTTACAAAAGAATTATTTAGTGATTGTGAGATTATACAAAGACAATGATGTATGGTATAAATGATATTGCTTGATATTGCACACATATGTATATTGATTATGAAATTAGTTTGTTTAAATGTATCTAAGAAATAATATTTTTAACTAATATATGTTTATTACTTTTAATTAAAAATAATTTAAATTAATAGTTTGAGAGTTACATAATAAAGATTGGAAACTTTTGAATTGCTAAAGTCTAACAAACTATAGAAAGATGCAATGCTTATAATTTCTTAACAGCAATTACTTTTATATATTAATTGTAAATGTTAAACATCAATAACACATTTTAATTATTTTTTAGGTGTAGCCTATAAGGCTGAGATTGGGACGACTTTCTTACTTCTTCTTAAAGGAGCTTTCCAATAAAAAAATTTTAATTTTTTGTACTAAAAAGCTGCTTTAAGAGGCCTCATTTGGGACGACTTTCTTATTGCTTCTTTAATTTTTATACTAAAAGCTATTTTAAAAAGCAGTAATAAAGTCATTAAAACAAAGCCTAAATAGATAGGAGGAATCACCAAAATTTGCTATATATGTTCTGTGCATGTTGAGCCAAACAGTTTAGTTTATCATCATTATAATATAAGACTCAGAAAAGGAAATATCACAAGAAAGCTCAAATAAAAAATTTGTAATAGATTTAAATTATATTTTTTATAATGAACATTCATAATCCAATGAGAGAAGAAT